AGGAAGCTGGAATCTGCACAATTATCAGGTGTTTATCGATTAGGAGACGCTACTCGCCAACGTGCGCTGCGCGCGGCATATCGTCGTTGGGTATGAGGTGACCGATAGATTCTTTGACCGAGCAATGTACGTTACACACGCTCAATCGTAAGGCCGTTTTTGAGCAAGACAATTTATATTTAATATTTGAGAGACGATGATGGAAAGAAATGAATAAAAGGGGTGTGATACTGTAGGGCACCACGCCGTCCCAGTTCACCTCCGCAATCACGCCATGTAAAAACATCAGCAAAGAATCGACTTAAAAAGGTTTGATATCCAAATTGTCCCACTCTGTTCTAGCGACTAACAAACTGTTCAGGAGAAATAATACTTACGTGAACGTCAGCTCCATAATTAATCCATAGAGATCGAGATCATCCGCGGGTAAATTCGTTTGCAGCAGATATCTCAAGGGTAATCTGCCCGTTTCGACAAGTCTGAAATGAAGGGATAAGCTAAGAATCAGCACGAATGAAAGTTCATATATGGAAGGCAAGAACTTAAAGCGAGAAATTACGATAAAATTTCTGTGCAGCATGGAAGAACGAGCAGCACTTCAAGCAGTAGCTAGAGCCCAAAGGAATCGAGATGTGGCCTTTTTGTGACTAAAGGTGCGCTCGTTGCAGCGCCCTGGGGCTGCCAATCCTTTCTGAGCTCCGCCTCCGCCTGTGCTCCGCCCCTCAGCAGATCGCTGTTCGATTATCATTCTGATAAGGTATGCCACTTCGAGCGCGTATCCAATTTTTTCTCATGGAATGCTATATCAATCAAGGTATGATCTCTGGTGGTATGATGGCAGCTATGGTTTAACGAGTGCCGACGACCTCTTAGTTGGTTGCCAACTCGTCCATTATCGGAGGTCAACGGGCAGAGGAAGTGGTCCCATTTTGCGCGTTTTTGACGGATTTCTTTGCTTTTTTCGCTACTAGGGCATTATTCAGCATCTTCACTTCCACTATGAGCACAACAGAATCCTATCGCAATCTCTCGCTTTAAGGGCATAGTTTCTGAGAGTGTAAGGAGAACAGTAGCAAATCCTTAGCCGAGGTCTTGCGACTGTTGCAGCAGCGGTAAGCAAACCAACCCTTTTGGCGTTTCTGCTGGGGCCGATGCTGAATTTTGGGGAGTAGATGTGGTCCCCGAGCTCGACAGACGACAGATTTTTATCAGAGGCTTGGTCGGCTTCGGTGGACAGTGTGTGCAACAAGAGGTGCAGCTAGGTCCAGCAGCTCCGCCAAAGGAGCTGGTTTGCTCACCCCAGGACTAAGCCTTGGAGAGAGGGCGGACTTGTGCTCTTCGCAGTCCGTCCTCTCTTTAAGGCTTAGTCCTGAGGTAAGCATCAAATTGAGGCGGTTTCAAGGACCGAGTTGAAGTAGTCCGTCGACCGTCGGGGACCCCCATCCCCTCCCCAACATTCAGCATACGGCCCCAGCAGAAACGCCAAAAGGGCTGGTTTGCTTACTCGTTGCAGCAAGGACTTGTGGCAAGTTGTTTTATACTTCTGCTCACTCGATTCTAGAAACGCCCCACTTATATATGTCGCCCTCAGATTAACCCTTGTGGATCCCACACCCTTGACTACCTAATCCTACTGCTGCCAGGTATAACCTAAGTTCATCCGGTTGATACAGAGCAACCATATTTACAAGTGTTATGTGGGGTGGGACGGGGACATTGTTGGTGGGTGCCAGAAACTGATAACGATTGATAAGGGCCGATAAGGCGCGCAGAACGCTGAAGTCGTCGATTCCGTTGCCTGGCTCGCGTTGACACCAGAGCAACCATACTTACAAGTGTTATGTGGGGTGGGACGGGGACATTGTTGGTGGGTGCCAGAAACTGATAACATTGATAAGGGCTGATAAGGCGCGTCAGAACGCAAAAGTCGTCGATTCCGTTGCCTGGCTCGCGTTGACACCAGAGCAACCATACTTACAAGTGTTATGTGGGGTGGGACGGGGACATTGTTGGTGGGTGCCAGAAACTGATAACGATTGATAAGGGCTGATAAGGCGCGCAGAACGCAAAAGTCGTCGATTCCGTTGCCTGGCTCGCGTTGACACCAGAGCAACCATACTTACAAGTGTTATGTGGGGTGGGACGGGGACATTGTTGGTGGGTGCCAGAAACTGATAACGATTGATAAGGGCTGATAAGGCGCGCAGAACGCTGAAGTCGTCGATTCCGTTGCCTGGCTCGCGTTGACACCAGAGCAACCATACTTACAAGTGTTATGTGGGGTGGGACGGGGACATTGTTGGTGGGTGCCAGAAACTGATAACGATTGATAAGGGCTGATAAGGCGCGTCAGAACGCAAAAGTCGTCAATTCCGTTACGCAGCGTTGACACTAGAGCGTTCCTACTTACAAATTGTAGTAAGTCGTAGTAGTACAAACAAAGGTACGTGCACATTATTTCGATATATATCCAGCTTACTTAATAGCAGTCGATTGCATAAATTCAAAAAACAAGTCTTCAGCAAATGATAAGTTTCATTTCTATCAAGAAAGCCCAAACTCATTAAACCGCTAATCCTTTCGGGGTTCTAAATAATGGTGAATGTAAATAAATGATAAGCCTTAGCTCCTCACTTATGTAAATAGGCATATTTCATTTTCATTTTGAGACTGACAGCAATCCTATTCACCGCTAAATTATCTGAATTCAAGAAGAATGCTGGATGTTTACAGTTGTGATCAATATACCACAGCTCAGACGTTATCACGCGTATTCTCGATGAGCTTCAGTGAAACTGTGGAGGGTCTAACACAGTCAATAGTGAGATGGTTAATGGAGTATCTCATGCTGATATTCCATGGGTCCTCCAATTTCGCTAAAGCCTGCCGTGTGATGCGCGCGATAGCGGGCGAAGCAAAACTGGTATGAAATAAGTGGACATCTCATTTCTTCGCGATGAAGTCGTGATCATTCGACCGCTAATCTGCCCGAGCTTCTTAAATAGCCAGCGTCTGTGGAAATACGATGAAAAATGGTAGTTTTGCCTCATCATCGTCATAAGAATATTCGACCGCTGAGCCATCTCAATATCCAAGGCATGGTAAATGTTACGCTGAGGGCTGATAATAACAAAAATTATATTGGGTATCTAAAGGTCATTCGGCTGCTAGACTTCCGTATTTCCAGAAAAAAGATGGATGTTTATTGGTACTGCTTTGTCATCTGATTTCCTCAATAACATCAGTCAAATCCATTGAAAGCAGTATGTCACTCGATACAGTACCCCGGATATACTCAATTTCAGTGAAGCCTACGTTGACATGCGCGCGATAGCGAACGGAATAAGCATAAGCAATTGCACACTTGCACCCTCAATCCACAAGAACACGAAAAGAGAAATTTGCACATGGCGCATATCACCAAACTTTTCGTCGCGCAACGTGCCGCTAGTAATTGGATTGTAGGCATCTGGTTTGGCTCTTGGAAAGTGCGTCTGAAAAAGTGAAATGACTCCATTTTTAACATAGACGGATTTCTTTTTCTATCTCCCCACCTACGTACAGGAGAAGGTCAGCAGAAGAACAAATAGGTCTACAGCTGCATAAATAGGCATTTGGCCTATGACGCACTTTAGCGATTTTTTCATCGCAGAGATTGCCGCCGTTGACGGAAGTCTTGCACCAAAATTCTCCCTAAATGCACAGTAGATAGACGTGAGCTATCCTTCACTGCAGACAGTCCTTAGAATATGATGTTATTCGCCATCGTCGAGCTTAAGTAGACCTACCGTGCTCCAGCAGCTCCTTTGTATTTTCTTGAATCGATTCTCTGTTGGATAAACAAAGCATTTTGTAAAACAGCCAATCTCAAAAGCTGAAAAGTTCCATATACTAACAGTTTTGTAGATATCTTTTTTTAGATTTTTTTCTTTAATTTAGGTGGCACAAACCAGCATTATTTTAGCCTTCCTTCCTGTCCTAGAGGGAGACGTTAGTAAAGATCACTTGGGCTACAGCCGCAGAAAGGAAACTCATAAACCAATGCATCTACCACACACCTTGCGCCGTGTCTTAAGCGTTGATATTCCAAATTCTGATCGATGTTCTGGGAAGTTTTGACCACAAAAGTTCCTGCTTCGTAATAGAACCTGACGCATAAAAGTGTTCTGTACTTTTTCTAGAGCCGCTTTTCTGTAAAAATTTCCTTTTCTTATTTGGACGAAGCACATCAACGCCTGCTTCATCTAGTGAGCGTGCATAATTTTGTGAAAAAAATGTAAATACATTTTTGGTATGGAGTACGAAGTAGTCATAAGAACAGTTGACCTTCTTCACTTTCAGAAAGTGTCGCTCAATCTCTTATGGGTAAAACAATGACGGATTGTAAATCTATACAAGTCAACTTCAGCGGTGGCAAAACACTTCGTTATGCCCTTTTCGCAATACTTTATTTGCTTTCTTCAAAAACATCAGGCACGTCATAAGTTTTTAGCCTACCGCTGCTTCTTAGAAGAGCGGGTTTATAGTCCGCTTCTTTCCAGGTGAATTTTTCGACCGCTACTGCCTACGCCCTCCAGCTTACGGAAAAGGAGTGTTCAGGGTACGTTTACCAGTGATATTACTCGAATCGATACAGGCTCATGATTTAAAAAATTTTGTGAATTGTTCTGTGACCTGGCAATCTCGTTCGGTAACAAATCAGTAATTGATAAATACTCACTTTGTACATGACTTCATGCTTTCAGCCTGTCCCATGCTTGGATAAAAAAGGAGGGTTGGCGTGAAGGTGTGGCAGCCTTCCGCCGTAAAAAAATCCGTGTTGCAGCAGAAACGACGAATATAAATGATACTGCTGATGCAGAAGATTGAGGTCCAGTTTTGTGACGAATATCCCGGTTCTGAGTTCCATCCAAAAAAGGGTACATCGGCATATGGAAAGCACGGACACTGAACAGAACTGGCAACCTTGCACTACTACTTCGTGAATGCGACAGATATCGGCTTGATATATTGGGAATAGTGAAGTTCGCTGGATAGGCAGTGGTAGAATAAATAGCAAGAGCAGAGCAATTTTTCCTGGCCACACAGGGAAGGATGGGTTCGTTCCAAACGAAATAGCGACCAGTGCTCTCGAGGAAAAAAAAAGCCGGTAAGTGGAAGGATACTCACAGCTTGTTTCGTAACCAGACATACTCGAATTATGGTCATACAGGTACACGCGGTTCACAGAAGTTGCGGATGACCAAATAAACAAAAATTAATTTCACGAAAATACAAGATGAAAGTCACCGCGAAGAGGCCTAAAACTAATACTTGGAAATTTCGATGTTCGACTCGGTGATGAAAGAAGCGGCGTTCGAAAGAAGTACTGGACCATTTACATATGCTGGTCATTTCAGTGGCTATGATGAGAGATTAGCATCTTTTGTGGTTACAATGAACTCTGCATAGGAAACGGAAGCAAGGGGTACACAAGAAGATCTAGAGGTTGCCGTAAGGAGTCACGTTCAATCGAATCGATCACATCCGCATGAGCTGCAGATGAAGAAGTTCCCGTCAAGACGCTCGCATATTCAGGAGAAAAGATATCGAATCCTACCACTATTTGATGAAGGTGGGACATATTAAAAGTGAAGCAACGGAAAAGCGACAATCACTCGAACTTCGATGTAGAGAGGATGAAAGACCCAGCTATTGCTGAGAGGATTCAACTGAATACGTATAATCAGTTATAACTTTTAAGAGACGTAAAAAAACATCGGACGAGTGGAGTGCTATGAAAGAAAATATCAAAATATTTAGATGAACAGACAGAAATAAAACTCAAAAAGATCTAGCCAAAACACAAGAAGAGAAAGAAACGAGAACGAAATTATGGAAATTGTTGAGAAATACTGTAGTCATGGTGAAAAGGAGTGGCTCACACAGAAAGAACTTGAGGATCAACAAGCAGCAAATCGTGGCAATTCAAAAACTTTTTATCGCCTTGTGAGAGCTGAAAGCGAACTCGAACCTACTGAATGCTCCTATCCGAGGTAAAAAATAGGTGACTCTTATTAAGTGATGAATAACAGGAGCAACAAATGGCTAGCACTCCTCCCTGACGTGCTCACCAAGCTGACCCGACAAAGACATATTCGAATAAATAAAGCAGACGAAGTCGATGTGAGCATCATAGAAATATAATAATATCATCATAGAAAAGAACGACCAAGCAATTGAATACCATCGAACCAAGCAAGCTCCAGGACTCGATGGCATGCGAGCAGAGCTGTTGAAAGAGAATCGGTGCTGACATCAAGAAGGATGGAAAAAAGGAGTCATTGTAAGAGTGCCCAGAATGTGAAATCTGTCTGAATGCGGAAATTGAAGAGGCATAGCTTTACTTTCAGTGCAGGGTAAAACATTGTGTTTTATGCCGCTAAGAAGACTCTAAACCAATTGGCAAACGTCTACAAGTAGAAAAAGGAGGATTCAAAGGCGTGGCAGATCATGTTGTGAACAAATATTCGCCCTCCAAAGTATAATATTATCGAATCAGCTTTGCTCCACCCGGTATCGCACGCATCATACGACCTAAGATTCCGCAGGCACTCCAGGTATATTTATCACACATAGCTCTGTAAACACTCGGCCACTTCTCCTGAATATTTGATAACGGTGAATAGGTTTATGGTGTTAGCTTCACAATTGGAATGATAGAATTGAGCTATCCCTGAGCCTCATGTGTGTAAGATGTTCTTCAGGAAATCAGTGATGAGGACTCATTCAAAATACTTTATTTGGTAAGCTTTCGCTGTGCTAACAGCTTCTTCAGACCTAAACATACAAATCAAGCATAACATACGTACGCTAATTCTTAGAGCATAAAGCTATACGAACGTACTAACCGGGCAGTCAACAGCAATTCGGTAACTGCAATACAACATAGTAACGACTACTGCTAGTAACATCAACAGAAGAACGGCTTACCCCGACGCCACTCCCAAGCAATTAAAAGTTACTATTAGGTTGTCTCATAAGTAGTGGCGCATTTTTTCAAACGGAAATTTTTCTTGTGAACCTCTAATGTTTTACAATGTTTCATATACCATTCGATAGGAAATTATCTGCTCTACAAGAAGGTATGTACCCTTTTTTGATTGTTGCAAATTGTTTGAGTTTTAGGCATGCAAAGTGGGAGCTTCAGACGACGAATTTTCGCCAAACCGACAGCTGACCTAAACTTTATACTTCCCTAGAAGAAATCAATCAATAATGTAACTATAACTTACTCATAACCTCTACTAAACATTCCACATTTAGGTTCCCTAAAAGCTTGTCTCGTTTAATTTTGAGATTTAGTTATTCCAGTGCAACTCGGTGGTCGCCTGTCAACCCATAGAGCTTCGTTCAGAGTGGAATTTTCCATTCCGATTCTTAGGTATTGACGCTACTTTATACACCTTTATAAAGTGATTCTTCTGCTCTACTTATTTGCATTACGACCTTGGTTTTGATATCAATCATCGTCGAGTTTTAGCGTAGAAAATGGTGGTATGTCAAGTCGACGAAAAGGAACACTTCCGGCACCTTCTGCTGTTCACCTTCAACCAAGGATCGAGTGCCACAAAAGCCGGCAGGCAACCACCGAGTTGCACTGGAATAACTAAATCTCAAAATTAAACGAGACAAGCTTTTAGGGAACCTAAATGTGGAATGTTTAGTAGAGGTTATGAGTAAGTTATAGTTACATTATTGATTGATTTCTTCTAGGGAAGTATAAAGTTTAGGTCAGCTGTCGGTTTGGCGAAAATTCGTCGTCTGAAGCTCCCACTTTGCATGCCTAAAACTCAAACAATTTGCAACAATCAAAAAAAGGGTACATGTAGAGCAGATAATTTCCTATCGAATGGTATATGAAACATTGTAAAACATTAGAGGTTCACAAGAAAAATTTCCGTTTGAAAAAATGCGCCACTACTTATGAGACAACCTAATACAAATGCGATGCACGTGACTATTGCAAGAATTTCTTAATCGCCACCGCTAAGATATTAGTCTTAATGCCTCCATGAGTTCATCCCTGTTGTTCATTTCCGGGGATAAACGTTTAATAGCAAGGGCTTCGAGCAGTTTCCTTTGCAATGGAGCTTCCTTTGTGCGGTGCAATATAGAAACTTTAAGATTGGGAGGTGCTTCCTGTCGGTGATATTGGAAACAATGTCTCGAAAACGCACTGCTTGGATAAGAAGATGGATTCCGCAGTGCTCGTCCATCCGTTTATACAGCGGACGCTTCGTTTCACCAAGCTCTTCAGATTCACAGGTGGTCGGAATATCAATTTCACTGGAAGGCGTGACGACCTGACAACATGGTTCACTTTCTTTGCCAATCTTTCATTGACGTACGGTAACACCAGCGGTATTCCTCCTGCTGCAAAGAAAGGACGCCATGTCCTTGGTTGTTCCGTCGTATAGCCATTCTCTTCCAGAATTCTTGCAATCTTCCTATCCACCTCTTCTGATTCCCTAGTGCAGTTCCTTGACTTCGTCGTGATAAGGTTCTTTATCACGTTGGCTTTCATGTACAATGGATGCGCACTGCGAGAATGCAGAAGGATATTCTTTGACATTGGTTTCTTATACCACTCCAATTCCGTCGTGCCATGGGATATTCGAACCTTTGTGTTCAGAAATGGAACGTAGCCGTATTCATCTGGGTATTCCACAGTGAAGCGTATGTTTGGATCACACGAGTTAAGCTTATGAAGCGACGAATACAGTGTCTATCGCTTATAAAACACAATTCCCTCAGTCAGAGATCTTCTCTCGATACGATCCAGATAGACGATTGCCAATAGCGGCGATATTCTCAATCCCATAGCAAGGCCTCTTTTCTGTGAATAGAACATTCCATCAAATTGGAAGATGTTACATTTCAAGGTTGCTGACAAGAGCAGTCGTAGATCTTCCTCTATCAATCCGAAAGTATGTACTTCGTGTTGATGTTGTCGTAGAAGTTCTATCACAGCATTTACGGCCTCATTGTTGTTCACATTCGTGTATAAAGAAACCGCGTCAAAGCTTGCGTAAAAGGCATCATCAGGTATCTCACAGCGGTCCAAAGCTGACACGAACTCTCCTCGAACCCATCTTCATCCAAGCAGTGCGTTTTCGAGACATCGTGTACAATACCACCGACAGGAAGCGCCTCCCAATCTTAAAGTTTCTATATTGCACCGCACGAAGGAAGCTCCATTGCAAAGGAAACTGCTCGAAGCCCTTGCTATTAAACGTTTCCCCGGAAATGAACAACAGGGATGAACTCATGGAGGCATTAAGACTAATATCTTAGCGGTGGCGATTAAGAATTCCTTGCAATAGTCACGCGCATCGCATTTGTAGTAACTTTTAATTGCTTGGGAGTGGCGTCGGGGTAAGCCGTTCTTCTGTTGATGTTACTAGCAGTAGTCGTTACTATGTTGTATTGCAGTTACGAATTGCTGTTGACTGCCCGGTTAGTACGTTCGTATAGCTTTATGCTCTAAGAATTAGCGTACGTATGTTATGCTTGATTTGTATGTTTAGGTCTGAAGAAGCTGTTAGCACAGCGAAAGCTTACCAATAAAGTATTTTGAATGAGTCCTCATCACTGATTTCCTGAAGCACCTCACAATTGAATTGAAACTTTATCATAAGTGAGCATCTAATGCAGATCCTTCATTCACTGCGTTCGCAAATCTTAAGGTTTTCCGGTCATTATGAGATCTGTCTATCTTATCAAATCAAGAATAAAGTGTGCTCAAGACAAGCTGATTATATCGCCAGAATGTCCACGACCCACCCCTAATAACACTTATGAAAAGAGCCCCATAGTGCCAACGTGAACTGCGCAATGGAATTGCCGACTTCTGCCTTTTAAGACTCCTTATCAGCCTCTATCAACCGCTATCATTTCGCATTTTGTCGCACACCAACAATGCTCAGGTACCACCCCACATACAGTCGAGATCCGAAAGTTGGGGTAGGCGTGTCACCGGAAGTGACGTGCACTTGATAGAAGTTGCGTGGATAAGCTGTTGCCAGCATGCTTTGCTGATATCCAGCGATGTATGTTGGAAGCAGCTTATCCACATAGATTCTATCAAGTGCACGTCACTTCCGGTGACACGCCTACCCCAACTTACGGATATCGAGTATAACACTTGCTGTAATTATGAACGCTCAAGTGTCAATGTCAGCTGCTCAACGGAATGGGGACTTGTGAGTTCAAAGGCGCCCTGACAGCCCTTATTAGTTTCTATCATCCTATTTCACCCACAGTGTCCCGGTACCACCTCACATAACACTTGTAAGTATGAACGCTCTAGTGTCAACGCGAACGCTTGAGTCAAATTTAATGAAAAGAAAAAATCGAGAAGGATTGGAGAAAAATTAAAACGAAAGTAAAAGGAAACAAAGGAAAGTAACTGACGAATACACAGGCGCGGGAAGCAGTAAAACCTCGCTCGAATTTGTCGCGCGGTTTCCCGCACGCGGCAAGCCGCGTGTACGACGTCGCGCGGTGACTGCCCACAGGCCTAATCCTTAGCTCTTGCTTTACAGCCAAACCCCCGAAATGAATTCGATCCTACTGAATGGTTGTTCTTATACTGGTAGGAAAGTGGTATCACAATCACGATATCTTTCGCCTCTAGTCGACCATTTTGCGGACGGACAGACAGACGTGCAAATACACACAAACAAACCGACACACCAAACTTCTAGTTTATATAACGAAGTGATGAGGTTTGGAATATCGTCATCCTGTCTTAAAGGCAAAGGTCGGGATTAGTTGACCTAACCAACCCTTTCGGTCATGTCTGTACTTGGTTACGCACCCGTAGAGATGTTCCCACGCTCAAAATCTCGAAACGGCGCGGTAATAAGGCCCCAGGGCACGTACTATGCGCTATCGCCGCCTGGCCCCGCTACGACCGCCCACCTCGGGATGTGGCATAACGTGTGAAATCAGCTAGGTTGATTGCCGTATCAACCGATAGAACGACTGATATCTCCAGAAAACTTGTTTGTACGTGCCTCTTTCCCAAGCCAGCCTCCTTCACTGCTAGTGGGAAAGAGGGTTTTGTTAACGGCCTTGTCGACGGTTTTTCTCAGTTTTTTCTCCACTGTCGTTCCACTTCGCATCTCTATACTCAGTTTCAATCGCTATCTTCTTCTTCTTATTCTTTAGCGTCTGTCCCGCTTGTAGGCGGGGTCCGCTTTTCTGATGTGTTGACGCCACTTTTCCCGATTGAATGCTTGATCGGGGTGGATGTTAACCTCTTCAAGTCTTCGTGCAACGTATCGAGCCATCGCTGCTTCGGGCGTCCTCTAGGCCGCTTTCCGGGCACGTCAAGGTTGAGACCGATCTTACGGACACTGTCATCATTTCGCGCGAAGAACATGACCATACCATCGAGACGGGCTTCGCGCATCTTATCGACAATGGAGCCACACCGAATCGCTCTCTGATGACATCGTTTCGAATGTGGTCTAATCGTGTGACTCCGGCTGTCCAGCGCAGCATCTTTGTCTCCATCACACTGAGACGGGCTTCAACTTCTTTAGTCGCAGGCCAGCACTCAGCACCGTAAATGGCGACCGGCCGGATGACGGTTCTATAGATCTTGGATTTGAGACGCTCTGGTATGTTCTTATCGCAGAGAACGCCAGTCATCGAGCGCCATTTCAACCAGGCTGCATTCACGCGAGAATTCGTTTCCACGACCAGGCTGCCGTCAGACGCAATTGCTGATCCAAGATACTTGAATGTTGTTGTACGTGTGAGCTCAGTACCATTGATTTTAATGGAGCATGGGCATCACGTCATCAGCATAAAGAAGCGTCCATGGAGCCGGCTTCTGGAGATCTTTTGTAATGGCATCCATGACGACAACAAATAGGAGTGGGGATAACGCAGAGCCTTGGTGTACTCCGACAGAGATGGGAAAATCCGTCGATGTGCCTGCTGCCGTTTGCACTCGGCTCTTTGGACTCGAGTACAGGATGCGCACCCACTCAATAAGCTCTTCGGGAACGCCATGCCATATAACGTCACGTGGAACGCGATCGAAAGCCTTCTCCAAGTCTAGGAAGGCAAGATGCACCGGCTTTTGTTTTTCGCGATGCTTTTCTAGCAGAAGGCGAGCGGCGTGTATGGCATCGATGGTGCTGCAACCAGCAACAAAACCACACTGGTTGGTGGTCAGCTCGACGATGTCACGGATACGACTGTCTACAATTCGCTCAAAGATTTTCATGCTATGCGAGAGCAGGCGAATTGGACGGTAGCTAGTGCCCTTTTCTTCCAGATTGGAATCGTCGTGCTCTGTTGCCAGCTCTCAGGCACCTTCTTCTCTGCAACGACCTGGTTGAAGAACTCCGTCAACCATTCTGCAGGATTCCAGCATTTTGATTTCCACAAGTCCGCCGCTAAGTCGTCAGGACCAGTCGCTTTGCCTGATTTCATCTTCTTCATAGCCGTAATGGTCTCCTCCATGGTTATCTTGTCAACACCTCTTGTCGTCGTGGTGTGCTGCGGCGTTCTCTTTTCTACTTAAATTTTTTTTCGAGTAGTGTCCTCATAAATTCAGAGTAACTCTCCCTGTCTTCTGATTAGACACCTCAGGCGCCCTCACTTCTCTGATACCATCATCCTTTCTATTCTTGACGCAAATTTCCCCTTAATTTCTTGGTTTCGCCCCACAGTCCGTTAAGGTTTCTTGATCGATCACATATGGCTCGTGGGTCACAGCGCAAAACGTCCGACACAGGAAACGATAAGGAGATCCCACTATGGGCCAGCATGATGATGGATCAGTACGTCTCCTGCGCTGATAGGCTTGAAAAAGCCCTCACTTCATCGCTGGCTAAACTCGTTGATAAAATCGATGAAGTTAATGCTCGTCAAAATGAAATTCTTTCTCGCATCGCCGCCTTGGAGGACTGCGTCTCTGCTCTTCAAAGATCAAGCCCGGTGGATCAGAAGATTCTTTATTCCACAATCGTGAAGGCCAGAGCGGATGGTGAGAAGATTGATGAAAAGCTCAGGCGTATTACGTGGGTGGGCATAGGAGAGCAGAGCGACGAGCTGACGACCAGGAAGTTTGACGCGGAGGCTTTGAAGGAAGCGGTTCAGTCTTCAGGGGACAAGGAGCTGATCGAGGAACTTTCTAGGGGAAACATAAAGGCTCGCCGTTATCCAGCTGTGAGGGCAAAGAACGCCATTCGTGACCGCATCATCAAGATCGAATTGCCCTCACAGGCTCTGAGGGATAGACTGCTACATCACATGAGGTCAGGGCGCCAGAGCCTAACTAAGCATTTCGTCCATTCCTACGCACGCCGAGACTACACAGAAGAAGAACTGGAGCTGGATCGGGCGTTGCGCAAGCAGGCGGGAATGTCGAATGCTAAACTGGGCAAGCTTAAGTTTGTGGTTCGCGACCTCAAGATATGCGAGCTAAAAAATCCTAGGAGAGCTTCAACAACGCTCGCCCTCTTCGTTTCATGAAGTACCGGCACCCTCCTCAGAGACTCTTACTGGATCTATGGATGCTGCTTCGCAGTGCTCTGCCTATCATTCACCGTCCCCATAGGGCCAGGCGTCTCAGTTGCACAGGCCAGAATGCGCTCCTGATCATAACCGTCAATATGTATCTCTTATGTAATCTCTAAGTTTGGGACAATTTCGTTGTGTCGGCCGCGATAGATCAAAAATTAAAAAGTTTCCAAACTTTTGACCGCTACTGTATGTTTCTCACGCGTACTCCTGCTCTACTGTTTTGGGGCTCGCGTTTTATAGTTGAGTCTTTTTGCGTTGCAAAAAGAGCAGTATCCTTGTATTGTATTGTATTTTGTGATTTCATTTTAATTTCGGACATGTGTTTGTATTGCAACATCAGCATCTCTTTCGCCTTTTTGCGGTACATTTCGCACATCCACTTACTTTTCTTAGTCCAATAGGCAGTGGTTCGCTAGAAAATGTGGTTCCAATTGCACAGCTACAGTCAGCATTGCATAGCAGTAGTGATAATATTGCGAAGACTGGATGAAAAACATGATAATGAGCACTATTGCTATTCATCAGGACAGCTAAAATGGGTGAAACGTTCACCTCAATCCCCTTATTTGCCATGCTTACCATACTGAGGCCTTTCACCTGTCTTAAAATCTCTTAGAGAGAGGCGTTGTTTTACCAAATAATGGGACTTTCTACTGCACTAAAAAACATGTTCTAATATTGGCTTTTTAGAACAAAAATTCGGAGTGTTCGGTCACGTTTCGATTCCTAACAAAAACTGTTCGGTCACGTTTCAATTCCTAACAAAAACTGCAGAAGAAGCTCGCGAGTTTTGCGAAGGTAATGCTCCATATTACGTGAAGGACTTCAAGTCCGGTAAACCAACGAAGTGTTTGTACGGTACGTTCAAATGTTTTACTAACCATTCAATGGGATTCCTAATCCTCTATGCTACCTGGGAAGGGCTTCAAATTTCTTGGAGATTAAGAATCAACAGACTGGAATGCGAATCAAAACTACGAAAGATGGAATTGGAGCAGAACTGTAGAACTATTCTCCAAAACTAGTTATGAATGGTTTATGGTTTGCGATGCAGCATTAATACCATTAATATATTTTAACATTAATAGCATTAATATTAATAGGAGTGGTCATACCATATTTGTACTCATATCAGACCCTTCATGAAGCGAAAGATCTCCATTTTTGCAGGCCCTGAACGTTGATTTTTTTTTGCATTCAAATAATCTTATTCAGTGAATGAAGTCGAAACTAATGTCAATTTGCGACCTCGTGATATATCGACAATGATCACGCTTTAATGCTGCGTGCATGTGATACACGACATTCGGAATAATTCCTCATTTCCTACTCCTTTTTTCGATGTCGGTCTTGATAAGATCCCACCATATCTGCTTCGCAAAATGTGTTTGTCTGAGAGTTTTTCTTTATTATTAAGTTTTGCTCAAAGTAATGATAAAAGCTGGCAAGAGCTGATAAAGGACATCAGGAAGGACAGTTGTCAGCACTCCGTCGCTCCATTCGCGTTGGCAGCAGAGATTACATGAAAAATGTGGAATGCGACACCAACGATAGGTAATGAATAGTGATAGCAACTGACAGGCGTAACAAGGAATTGTAGAATGCAAGTATCACCAATCTTGGGGCCATCAGTGTTGGCACGATGGTGGCTTACTTCCATCTGTCATATGGAGTGGGACGGGGAGGAAAAGGGGGTAATCGAAAGTGATAACAAATGATTACTGGTATTTCATGATGAAGAGAGTTAGAATCTGAGTACAACCAGCTTAGTATTCTTCGCACTGACTGTGGAACATCGGTCCTCCTATTTCTTGTAGGAGTTAGGACAGAAACGTAGATGGTAAGCGACAGAGAATGAAGGTAATGTTGTTTATGTGTGGAGTGAATGGCAATGAGACATTACAATTTCGATATCAGGAGTAGCAACGTTTATTGAAACCGCTTAATTATTTGGACTTCTGAATAATGCTGAGTATCTATTGGGAATAAGCATTGGAAGCTGATCGTGGGTGATAGAGTTGCTTTCATCCTCATTCAGTACTAACCGAGAAAAACCCTATTTAACCGCTAAGCTGTATGAATTCAAAACCAACTTTCAAAACTATTGCTGGACCTTCACAGCAATGAGAAATATCATGACATCGCATGACATCGTGAGACGACGTTGGACTAGTTTCTGAAGAAAATGTTGAGAGTTAAGCATTATTTTTACGGCAATTATATCCAATAGTAAGAGTTAATCGAGTGAATTAGATGATATACAGTAGGCGCTTAAAATAGCTCGCTGAAACACTTTTTCGTTGTTATTCTGGTACATCAGACCAACTCAAACTTTATTATGTTTTGGAGGCAAAGTTTCTTCACTGAACTGGCATATTCATATTGAGTGCAGAAAGAGTGAAGAATGAAATATTCGAAATTCATATATTATCGTAAAAACTTATAAGTCAACGGAACAATTGACGACACGATAAATAACATTAAGCAGAGGCAATAATTTGCTGATACATTTTTAGAGTCGATGAATCATAACAGGCATG